TCCTACCCGCTCTGGGCTCTGTGGTGTTATTTATCGTGTCCTTGAGAGCTGCAGGCGGTGGCCGGTGCCCTCCATCTTGATCACCTGCACTGATGTGGGATCCTCCCTGGTGCTGTGCACAGCCCATCTGCTGCAAAGGAATGATTTCAGGCATTCCAGGCTGCTGCAGTGATATAAATCCATTGAGGTTTTTTTTTATTATTATTATTTTTTTAATTCTCACCATGTAAAGGAGCTGTTTTCTCCTCACCACCCCCTAGTCGCAGGGTGGAGGCAGGTGGTCTATCCAGGGTGGGGTTTCCCAGTCCCCGAGCCAGAAGGATGCTGCGGAGCTGGTAGCCGTGCCCTGGGGCTGGGAGGAGATGGGAGGAGATGGGGGACGGTGTCACACCGGGGATGCGAAACCCATTAGCGTTTGATTCTGCAAAGCCAGCGCACGTGGGAACGGCAACCCCTCCGTGGCGAGTGCAGTCAATAGATGAGACGAGACACGTTTGTTTATCAAAATACTCATCGGTGCCGGGGGGCTAGGGTGCGTTTTGGGGGACGGGCAAGGCAGTGTGGCGAGGCGTGGGTGACTGCAAGCGATGGGGACCGCAAACACAGCTGTGTGTGCCTGCGCGCCCTGAGAAGTTAACTCGTCGCTGCTGGGAGTCCCTGCCTCAGATCGCTGCCAGAGATGCGGTACCCGTTATTAATCTGCAGAGAGAGTTGCGGTTTTAATGCTAGCAGCGGGGGAGTTTGCATGAGGCAGAGGCGTTCCTGGAAGACCTCCGCAGGTACCATCCTGGAGCCATCCAACGTGACTCAGCATCTTTGCTGATGTTTTTTTTTAAAGTAGGTCTCAAATTAGCACCGATTTTTAAAAAATAGGAGATGACCTGGAGATGGGGGTGCTGGGAAGTGATCCCAGGAGGTGATTTGGAGCTGTGGAGAGCGGTTGGAACTGTGATCAGCTGTGCCTGCTGCTGCCGAAGGCACTTTGGGAGTGGGGCTGCTGCTGACCCCATGGTCAAGGGCAGCGCCTGGCCATGCCCTCAGTGTTGACGGGGCGGGTTTGACTGGCGAGAGTGCGGGAAAGCTGGGGAAGTGCTTTGTGCTAGGGAATGTGAGTGCTCCTCTCACCTTTTCATCCAGAAGCTACAAAATGCAAGTGTATATGGCTTTGTCAGGGGGCTAGTGGTGGGCATCCAGCGGCTCCTCAGTCCAGCAAACACCCCGTGTCTGGAAGCCGAAGCCAGCTGCTAGAACAAGGCCCAGGTACATCTGAATATTTATTTATTTTTGAGCTGCATTTAACGACTAGAACAAACACTGGCAGAAAATGGCCTTAGCCTTGTCTCGGCTTCCTGGGTCCAGACCACAAGTGGCCCTGGGAGGGAGTCTGAGCTTGATGAAAGAACGTTAAGCCATCAGTATCAGGAGAAGCAGGTAAGATGAACGAGCTGCAACACTTGGGAGTCCCATGCTCCAGGAGAAATCAGTCTTTCAGAGCAGATATTTGTAATATGGCTTCATGGGGCTGGAGGAGGACAACGCAGAAGAGGTCAGTGTGGGTCTCTGCCACATCTCGCCGGGCAGGCAGGCAGTCCCACCTCCCTGCCCCATGGGGAGCAGACCCTGGAGGGATGGCTGGGGGCAGTGCATGGGATGCTGTCGGTGGCAGCAGCCTCCCTGTCCCACCCTGCCTGGTGGCTGCAGCCCTGGGCAAGCCAGCAGATGTGGATGGAGCTTCTGCAGATGTGAAGCTGATGCCAAGCAGCATGTTTACCTACTTGCTTGCATAAATCATCCATTGGCACTGCCTGCTGTGGGGCAGGGAGGTGGGGACAGGGTGAGACGTGGCCCAGATCCACACTGGCCTCTGTATTGTTCTCCGCCAGCCCTGTGAAGCCCTATTAGAAGTGTCTTCTCCAAAAGAGGGGCCTCTTCTGGAATATGGGACTGAAATGACAGCGCTGCAGCCTCTTGGTGCTGAGGATAGCCCTTGTTTTGTCTTGTCCCCTTGATCTGAATGAAGTAATTCATAAGGACGTTTTCCATGAATCAATAAATCCATGCTTGCTGCTGTGCCTGGGAGGTTTCATTTGCTCTAGATACTGTGCTGGGTGTCTCTGTCCTGAATTGCACTGCGAAGCCCTGCCCTTTGGGGGAAGATGAGGACGGATTGCCCAGAGAGGTAGTGGAGGCCCCATCCCTGGAAACATTCAAGGCCGGGTTGAACGGGGGTCTGAGTAACCTGGTCGAGTTGAAGATGTCCCTGCTTACTGCAGGGGGATTGGGCTAGATGACCTCTAAATGTCCCTTCCAACCCAAAGCATTCTGTGATTCTATGATACAGCCAGATCCTCCAGGAACATGCTGTGGGCAGCTGATGGGGCACGGTCCATCTTTATTGTGCATCTCCCAACGTGGGCTAAAGAGGTTAGGGAGGGTGTAAGTGCCGTATTTTCTCTAGGTATGCGTGTGGAGCCTGAGGAATTTGTCCCTTGTGCCAAGCAATTCCTGATGTTATGGGTCTGGGGGAAACTGAAGCCAAAAGTTAAAGGGCAGGAGGGAGCATTGGCCTTTGGAAGGAGATCATGGTGTGGAAATCTCAGTTGCAGGTGGATTTCCCTTGCAGATCTCCGCGTGGCCTTTCCTCTTGAGAGGAACTGAAGAATTCCTGTTGTGCCGTGCCACCTCCCCTTCCAAAAATTGCTTTTGCGAGCCAAGGTGTGCACATCTATTGAAAGCAATGCACATGTGTTTAAGAAGCCTGCCGTGGGATCTGCCTGAAAAAAGAGGGTTCAAAAACTCAGCTCTGCTACACATAGAGAAGTCAAAGATAACCCTGAGATCCCCAATCCCCAGCTTGTTTCCCGTGCTTTGTCTGAGTATCGTGGTCTGCTGGGGCTGGAGCAGTGGTCATGGGTGGGTTCAAGCCCTGGGAGGGGACCTTGCTTTCTGCCGCATGCCGTGGGTTTGGGATGTTTTGTTTGCGCTGAGGGATTAAGGCTGTTGTTGTGTGGGGGAGGTGGTTTCTGTCTTGTTCTTGGGGTATGATGGGTGTGTTGGGGAATTCTGAGCTGATGGGGCATGGACTGGGGTCAGCTGTCCCCATGGGCACCCAGAACCCGGCTCTCCATTCCAGCTGAGCACCCAGAGACCCCTCCGCTTCTCCTTTGGAGCGGCTCCGAGATCGTTCCGCAGCTCTTGGAGGTCAGAGCTCATGCTGGGGAAGCCAGAAACGTTCCCAGAGCCAAACCACGCCATGGCGAGCGGCTGTGTGCCTGGCCTCTGCTTCTCATTTCCTTCATCGCTGCAGAGAGCAGCTGAGCTGCACACGGGGATTCAGCAGGGTGTCCCCTCTTTTGTTCCTATATATGAGAAACGTCTGTGCATGTGTTTATATTTAAAAAAAAAAATGTATATACTTTAACATAGCTGTTTGTGAGCTATGCCACACGGGACTGGTCGGGTTGAGCGAAGGAGAGATGTTGCTCGCAGCTGCCTACCTGTTGCACTGGCAGCCCTGTGATGGTCCTGCTCGCCTGGCCATTCCTGCACGTGGAAAAAACCAAGTATTTACAGGGAACTATCCCAAACTTGCCCAAACCCAGCTAGAAAGGCTCCCTCTGATCCTAAAGGTTTTTGCGATAAGTGTTGCAGCACCGGTGGCAAGGCTCGGTTGCTGTTATTTGTGTCACAGCCTGGCCCAAGCCTTTCCACGTGTGTCCGTTGTGCGTTTTCTGTCCCCGTTTTCCTGTACGTTTGCTGACGTGTTGGTATGAGACTGATGCGTCTTCTGGTGGTGGGGTGGATGTGGGCTTGCTGCTCGCCACACTGCTGCCCATTGTCTGGGACGACAAACGCAAGGTCAAAGCATCGTCGTGCCAATGGCAAACTGGAGTGGCTGGAAAAAGTTGTCATTTTAAATAATTGCCAGGATGATTTCTCCTCCTTTTCCTCCCCTCTGTCCCCATGATCTTCCCCAGCACCGTGTCCTTCCCCACCCACCACCTGGGGCCTGCCTGGATCTGTTCAGGATTTATGTTAAAAGGGGAATTTTATGTATGTAATTAAAACGTTGTATTGCTGGGTAGAAATAGGATTTGGTGCTTACTGCTGTGACTCTTTCTCATGCGTGAGGGTGAACTGATTGATTACTGAGGTTTGAGATTAAATATTCCCCTGAGCTCCACTGGCATTCAGTGTGGTGGGGGAGGGCATAGAGAAGAGGAGGAGGAAAACGGTTTTCCTCTGAGGGAAGAAGAGCAGAGGAATGTCTACTGAGCACATCCCCTTGTCTTGCTCTGCATGCTGTCTGCTGTAATGTAGGCTCCTGGCACTGGTGTCATGGACCATGATATATCAGGTGCCTTACTCTGCATCCACGATGGCGGGCAAGCTGCTGGTGGGCTTTGCTGGTTCCTCTCACTGCTGGGTTGAGCATCCCATCGCATCCCATCCTGTCCCTGTGGCTCAGATGCATCCTCCCCTCCCTGCATCCCAGTCCCCGCTTGGGTCCGAGTCTGGCAGAGGGGTAGACCTGCTGTCCCCTCCTTTCCCCCTAGGAGGATGCCTTATCTATTTATTTTCCTTAATTTCTTCTAGTTAAAAAACCCTCTTTTTTTTGTTTCGATGGGAGGGGAGGAAAAAGCCCCGACGCACCACTCCTCAAGCACGCGGTGGGAGCCTCGCCGTGCCGGTGCAGGTTGGAGACACCTGCCTTCGCCTGCTTTCCTTGAAGTCTAATTTTAGCTGAAGGCAATGGGATTCCTTCAGGATACGGCAGAGGTTTCCTATCAACCTAGACCTTAAGAAACAGGCAAACAAAAACAGTACAGAAGCACTTAGGTTTGTTTGGGTGAATTCTTTTGAAAAAGGGTGTGACTTATTTTTGCGAGCAGCGCCGGCGCACACCGGCTTTGTTCTGCTGCAGTCGGGTATTTCAGGTCTTCCAAGATTTAATCAGAATAATTAGTTACTGTCTGTTTGTACCTTCTGTTTTTGTTGCAGAGTTTCCAAAGGGCGTATTTATCTTCCAGAGTGCTGCCTAAGTGTCGCTTAATCATTAAGCATCTGATTTCCTCCAAGTAATCTGTCATGCTGCTTTTGTAAGTAAATAATAAAAAAAAAAAAGGAGGGGGGGGATGGTGTTGGTGGATTCTGCTTGGGGGGGGGCGGGGTGTAAGGATTTTTCCTGATTGTCACGGGTTTAGTTGTGAGCTGCCTTTGCTTCCCAGCCTGTTGTGCGGTGATCAGAGGACTGAGTGCTTGGACTGGCGCTTAACGACCCAGCCAGTCTAATGAGGTTGCTTTCAGCCAAGCCTTCGTGTATACCCCCCTAAACTGGCAAGAGCTGTGTTACTCCCAGTCATTTCAGGAGGGGAAAAAAAGAAAAAAAATTTTACAGGAAAAAAAGGCTTTTGCTTGTATGGTTATGCTTTTGACTCCTTAACCCGGCGGTATCCCTTATAAAAATCACAGCCCTGCCTGGAAAGAAATTTGCAAAGATTGGAAATTGGGTGTTTTTCAGCCTGTATTTGCATGTTTGGTTTGAGAAGGGGGACCAATGATGCACATATTTCCCATCTCTTTAACATGGGAGATGAGAAAGATACTGAACAACACTGCAGACGAGGATGGGACGCCTGGAGTGCCTCGCAAGGAGGCACATGTGGTGCTGAACCCGCCCCTGGTTCGTGCTTGGCGCCTAAATGAGTCGCATGATATTTTCCCTTCAATATTTATTACCGAGAGCAGCTGAGGGCGGCCGCTGTGCTGATGGCAGCATGGGGCCGGACAATTTGCCTTTTTTCCCTTGGTTTCCCTTTCTTCCCGAGCTGGGGTGGTGGGGATTGGTAGGGGTTGGGTGCTGGGATGCTGGCTCGCCAGCTGCCCTCGCTGCCTCATATATCATGTCAGGCGTGCAAACTCTGGGGGTGAAGGTTCGGGGTGTACGCTGCTTCCATCATGGGTTTATATCCTTTTAAATCCAGAAGCAGCCATGGCCATCAGCTCCTCTGCTCTCCTCTGTGATGGGGATCATAAATTTTCGAGGCCAGTGACTTTGTTTTAGCCCTTCTCGGGGATTACCAATGTGCAGCGGGGCTTTGCTCTCCTTGGCCGGGTGAAGATCATTAGAGGGAAGAGGCCCGGGCGAGTGCAAGGTAGGGCCATTGGGGTCTGCGGAGCTTTGGTGTCTTCAGTAGATGTTGAAGTCCATCTCCTCTCTGCATTTTTTGGGGGAGATTAAAGACGACCCACTGCATTGGGGCACACGTTGGACTCTGTGCCGCGGCAGAGCTGAAGCCAGGTGGATTTCCCACGTCTCATCCACCTCACCCAGCTCCCAAGCAACATTTTGGGGAGATGCTGGCAAATCCTCTGTCCCTCTGGGACTGACATGGCCGCTGTCACAGTTGGCACCGGGTTTACTGGTGGCCCTCGCTCTTTCTGCTCCAGTGTGCGTGGGGGTGGGAAAAGTCTGATTTAATGGAAATGTTCTTAAGGAAGGCTGTCGACCTGATTTATTCCTTGACGTTTACCCATCTGGAAAGCTGGTGGAGCTTCGGTTGATGCCTCCCAAAGCGCTGGAGATGTGTGATGTGCAGCACAGCCATTGCTCCTTCCCAGTACGGCCCCTCCAGCCACAGCGAGGGCTGCTGGAGGGATGGCGGGTCTCTAATACCCATCTTCCCGGCACGTGCCTGCCGGCTTCACTCAGCCTTTCGCAGATCTACTTGTTTTGGAAGAGGGAGAGGAGGGGAGGAGGAGGAGCAGCTGCTGGGAGTTCAGAAGGGTGAAAGCATGGAGGGGAAGGGAGGTGGGCAGCATCATGGAGGCAGATGCTGGGAGAAAAAGGAGAGACGTGGCTTGTTTGGCCGGTGCTTTAGAAGCTGCTGAGTTAATTGAAGCATTCACTAGGGAGCTACATTTGGCTTTTAAATAGCTTTGGAGCATGTGAATGCTCCATGTTGCTCTTTTCTTCTTTCTGTGGCTGCAGTCACCTCCTGCCCCATCTCTCTTTGAAGAATGTCTGCCTGTTAGAAGTCCACCTTGGGACACAGGAGGTGCAGCTTGGTGACCACCTGCTTTCAAAAAGCCCTTCAAGTTCTCCCCAAGCTCCTTATTGCTCCAGACTGCCCGTCCCTTGACTGCTTTCAGTCTGGCTGCTGCAAGCCTCAGCTATAGGGACTGACCAAGGGTCCCCTCTCCTGTGCTGGCAGGAGGTTTGGTGCTCACCACGCGGCGCCGGTGGGTCTGGGATGAGCCAGTTCGTCTTCCATCACCTCTCTTTGAGCATCCCACTTAAGGAAGAGCTGATGCCCCTTTGGCTACCCTATGCTTTTGCAGGGCTGTGTGTTTCTACTTTCCTTTCAGCCACCTGAAACAGTCCTCCGAGAGCCTGGAGAATGATTTTTTTTTTTTTTTTCTCCCCAAGGAATACCTAATTTCTCTGCTTGTCCCTTGGTGCAGAACTGGATATTCTTTGTGCGCTTGGGTGCCTTGCTACGTAGTAAATGAAATATTTCATAGCACTTAGTTTTATTTAATTCCTGTAGAAAATGAAAGTATTTCAAGCTGTTTCCTCTTCTTGGTCCCCAAAATAATGCACCCCTGTGACGGAGGATGCCAAAGGCAGGCACAGATCTGAAGGACAGGTATGCAAAAGATGTTTGCTCTTCAAAAAAACTTCACCTTGGTCAAGGATGGAGAATATTCCCCCACACTGTAGCCACTCTGGGGGAACGGGCTGTGTCCCCCCGTTGCAAGCAGACCATGGCCACCAAGTGCCGCTGAGGTGCCCCCAGGCACGGGGCCGCTTCCCTGTTCTCGCCCTCCACCATGTGCCTACCAGTCTCTTCCAGACGTGGCAGGGGAGAAGGTTTGGAAGGAGCACACCCCGTTTTCCTCGTAAAACTCCAAATGAAAGGCTTGGCCTGGTTTAGATTTTAAAAATAACTTGCACATTTGGAAGCTAAAATTTCAGAAGGGCTCTGAATGGGATAAGGGCTTTGATCGTGGCAGTCTGAGATCAAGGGAGTGCTTTTTAGGTTTGCTGGATCAGCTGGAAAATATATTGTAGTCTCTAGACTTTATCATCCTCAAGCAAGCCTCTTTTTTCAACTCTACAAAAGGTCTAATCAGAAGCCCACTTACAGTTGATAGAAGGGCTCCGTCGGATTTTGATTGTGTCCAGAAGCAAGTTGAAAGAGATGGAGGTCAGCTTTGGACTTTGAAGGACCTCTGAGACTCTGCTTTACAGGCTCTGCCATTCTGATGATGCTGCTGGCGTGGGTGGAAGCTGGTGTGTCAACAGCTGGGTGAGGACGCTGGGGACAAGAAGATACTGTGTGCTAGCCTCACGGTCCCCAAAGCGGTCAGTTCTTGCAACTGAGCACTGCTGAGACCTCGCTGCTTGCCCTTTGGCTGCTGCTGTTGGGATCAGCTGCTCAAACCAGCATCTCCGACCCAACTGTCTCAGTTTTGGCCACGTAATAACCATAGATGTCCACGTTTGTTGGTGTTTTGACAGAACTTCAGCATTTTTTGCTTAAATGTAGAAAATGTATGTTTTTCTCTCTTTAGTCTCCATTAGTTTTTTTTAAATGTATTTTTAATTTTTTTTAATTTTTATGTTATTGTTTTGGGGTTTTTTATTTTTTATTTTATTATTTTCTGTAATGCCAAACAATTAGAGGCAGAGGAGTGATTTCCTAAGGTGCGTGGGATAAACTCAAAACCCTGCTGTGAAGGTGAGGGCATCTAGCTGTGCACATTCACTGACTCGCTTCCTGAAAGCCCACGTAGCAATCGAGCTCTGTAACGTTGGAAGATGCCCCATTGAGTAAGCCAAGGCAGTTTTCTGCTGTGGTTCCTGAACGAGGGTCTTGGGTGTTTTTTTGCAGGACTGTCACTGAAAAGTCATCGCCAGCCATCTCAGTGGTACGTGCTGCCATGCACCACGATGCCGCACTCAAATAGGGCGTGGGCTACAACCGTAGCCCGAGGCTTTGGTGGAGTCGCAGCCTGGCTGTGAAAGCTTCAGCTTGAGGCTTTGGAAAACATTTGGAAATGTTTTGGAAAACATTTGGGTTGAGGATGTCGTAGCTCGCGTGGTTGTTTTCCTTTGCTTTGTCCTTGAGAGAGGGAACTGCTGTTGGGTTTCTGATTTTTCTTTCCATCAGTTACTCTTTTAGACGTATTTATTTCCAGAGATGGATCAGAGCAAATGCCAGCGTTTAAACAGTTTGTGGTGTAAAATGGTATTAAAATTGGGCTGGAAGAGATCTTGAGAAGTTACCTTGTCCCCAAGGCAAGGTCAGCTGAATCCATGCATTGAACTGGAAGGCAAGTGCGTTTGCTGGGAGTTGTTTTCTCAGAAAATATCTGAGGAGCAGAGGCAAAAATCCACCAAATAATGCTGTCAGTGTGTGTGCCCAAGCCTCCCTCAGCTTATTCAAATCATTTGCTGAATAAGTGTTGAAAATTAATGCTGGGTTTGTTCCCAGAGCTATTCAAAGTAATAATCCAGAGTAACCTTTTCCACCTTGGCATTTGCCAGACTGCTGCAGCTTTCATGGGTGAGATGCATTTGCCCATAGTCTGTATTTGATGTGGAACCATCCCTGTTTTGCCCCTTTTCTGAGACAACCAGACCCCAGAAGCTCCACTGGGATGAAGAGCAGTTTTTTCTTTGTTTTTGTGAATTATATGTGACTTTCCAGTTCTGCAGGTGGTCCCTGCTTGAGCTGGAGTGGCAGCAACAGAAAGCCCCCAGACCCACCCCGACAACATGGGGTAGGTGGGAGAGGAGAAATCTTGCTAGAAATCCTTATCTGCTTTGAGATCGAGAAAGAAGCGATGGTTTTCAGTTAATTTCTTCTGCGTCTTCCTCTGTCCCAGCTTTGTGTCTTGAGCGATGCATCGAAAATACTATAAACAAAAGCCCTAGCCTAATCCCACCGCCTTTTAAAGGTTCTGCAGAGCTCCAGTGGATCTTTTTTCCTTGCTTATAGCTCCTCATTTCAGTGATGAAAGGTTTTGAAAGAGGTTCACCTGTAGCCAGCTGGATGCTGGCTTGCTCTCCGGGCAGCACTGCGTTGATATT